GTTCTGGCCTAAACAAAGAATATTTTCATATTCTGCTCATCATTTATAATGTCCTTTATAGCTTGTTGCTAGTGAGTGAGTGAGTTTAGTTTAACACCACACTCAGCAATATTCCAGCTACATGGCGGCAGTCTGTAAATAATCGAGTCTGGACCAGACAATCCAGTGATCAACATCACGAGCATCAATCTGCGTAATTTGGAACCGATGACATGAGTCAACCAAGTCAGTGAGCCTGACCGCCCGATCCCGTTAGTCACCTCTTACGACAAGCATGGGTTACTGAAGATCAATATTCTAACCCGGACCTTCACGGGTACTTGTTGCTAGTAGTTTGTAGAAATATTGTATTGTATCAGGGTATTTATTTACATATTTATTTATTTGAAGCAAGCTAATAAATCATATGCAATATACCATTTCCTGGGTGAGAAGAAAGTGTGAATACATTTGTAAAAATATTCACATGCATATAATCACAATGAACATAATCGAAACCACATTATGATAAAGGTTTCCAACACATATTGATATCATTTAGTAAATTTCTAACATTGCAATACATTTAACATGGTTAATGCCTTGACGCTTATCTCAAGATCAGTTGTGATATTGGCAATCTGTCAGTCAATCCTATACAACAGGATGTGACACCAACAGCACCTCCTGATCTACATACCAACATAACGGAGAGATACCAACATAGTGGAGAGATAGATTACTGTTATGTTATCAGTTGAACAATTTTCTTGCCAGCCATATACACTACCTAATAACCGAGTTATTCAAGGAAAGTTACATATCTGAGATACTTTCATGTGCAGGACTTACGGAGAATAAAACATTAATATCCTGGGGAGTATTCAACTCGTATTCCCCGAGGTGAGAAATGATTAGATAGTGCATGTTATTGACTTAATACATCACTGTCAGATTAAGTGTTGATCATAACTCCTACAATATATATGAGGAGTCTTATATACGCCTTACAAAATGTGCAAGTCTGCATATTACACATTGTATTCACCTTTGTTAGAGCAAATAAAATAATTGTTTCTTTCCCTCTGAACAACAGGAAGAGAAACCTTTTAAAATGTCCCACTAGACCACAGGACCAGTGAGTGGACAATAATTAGTGGTCCTGGGTGTACTTCACTGGTCCAAAATAACATTCGTAGATTTACTTGACTATCAATACAAAATTCAGTGGCCACCAGGACCACTGCAACTTATCATTCAGTGGTCCTGATGAATTGTTACTAGCCAGGGACCAGAGGACCAGTGTAAATTTTGCACACTGAACAAGACATTGTTTATCTTCTGCACTGAGAAATGACAGAGCTATATGATGCTGACTGTTAAGAAACCAACACTAGCGAACCAGTGGTTGATATTATGACAACAATCCATGCCTTTGAGGGACTCCTATCAACAAGTCAGTGAGGCTGAGCGTCCAGTAAAGCAAGGCATGCGCGACAGGGATCTGTATAAAACTCTTCTGCTTACCTGAGCACATGAAACACATAACCAGGTACACACGTTTCTCTTTGTGTTATTGGGTGTTTGCTTCTTGTTTGTTTTGTCTGGGGGAAAGGGAGAGAGAATTGATTCTGTATACACTCCTGAGGAGAGTTAAGTCAGACTATGGATCGTCATCAACAGCAGTGGTTGTTAGCTGCACAACAACGTGAAGATAGCGCTGACGAGGAGCAAAGGTGAACACCTACAGAGAGACAGTCACGTAGTAGATAATCACATTATCTTGTATACGCTGTAGCGTGGTGAACTTTCTCACCTGGCCGAGTAACCCCTCATGTCCTCATCACATTAACACACATTTTAACTGGTGACTTGCTGATAGGATACGACTCACACACATCCCCGTAGATATCAGTCGGAGCATTCCAGACACTCAGACCATCTTCCCCCAGCATTTGTTTGTCCCACATATAGTAATTATTAAAAATTGTACGTTAAAACTAAATTAGATGTGTATAAAGGTACAGCAGACTATGATTATAAGAATATCAAAGGGAAGCTTACGATATATCCTTCAATGCATAAAATTCCTACTCGACCAAAAAGAAAAGTTTTAAAAAAAAAGCCTTAAAGTATCCTTACAAATGTTTCCTGATCTGACTTTTTTAGGCCAAAAACTAACAAGAATATTTGTATTTTGTGTATGAAGTAAGAAATTTAACTTTAAATGTTTAGCCAAAAAGGAAAATCTCAATCCTTTTGGAAATAACTAGCTAAATGTAACGAGACCTGTTGACAAAATATTACTGTAAATTGAACATTTTTAAACATATTCTTTTGTCAAATGCAGTTTGGAATATTATTTCATTGAAGAATTCAGATTATTATCATACCAACATAGAGCACTAGCAAGGGTACAACATGAATTCTTTCCTGAATACTGCAAAATCAGTAAGACACACATGTGAGTATAAAAAATTGTCTCCATTCTTTCTCAATCCTTATGACCTCCCAGTTAGAAAACCAGTGTCACATCATTCCAACCTTACATCACGACATTTAAATGGTGTCAATAATGCCATCCTGATGACGTAAACAATATGATTTTCGCAAGTGACATTTGCACTATTTTTAACACTATAGCTTATGATAGATCTTATTACACACTTACATCAAAACCATCCATTGATCATGAAGCTGTTTTAATTCTTTTCAATATTGCACAGGCAATCAAATGCTTAACGAGAACATAATTCATTTACTTGCGGTCAATACTTAGGAAATAGCAGCTCATTACCCAATCAGACCCAAGGCTAGTATAGATTTAGGCGGAGAACCAATCATTCAAGTCTCCAATACTGTCTATTATACCTCTAACTTTCCATATAATGTATGGCACTGCCAAATACCTGTATACATGATAGATATGAACTTCTTGGAATTTTCAGTTTTCATACTACCAGTGTCTAGAGAACTGCTTCTAAGGCTAGTGAGTGAGAAAGGTTTTACCCACTTTTAGCAATATTCCAGCAATATCACAGTGGGGCACACAAGAAATGGGCTACACACATTGTACCGATGTGGTTAATGGAAGCTAAGCCTACTGACATGGGGGAGATAGGTGCTACACGTCATATACATCAGAACACCATGAGAGGCCTTCAAATATTTCATTTCAATCTTAGCGTTAAGGTGATTATAACTCTCATACCGTACTATAGACCTGTGACATTTGTAGTGCTAAGGTTGTTTTGTACAACGGAACCCTGGGTGCAGTGATACAGGGATAGCTTCAGTACATCAATTTCTACTAGAAGTAGGACCCCTTCTGCAGTACTGACAGTATGAAGTCGTCTTAGCGTTAAGGTAATCTTAACTCCTGTACCTTAACATAGACAGTTGTAACGATATGGCTGCATTGTACAATGGCATCTACTGATCTAGTTCTGTCCATTGTAAACATTATATCACTCAGGGGAGGGTGACCAGAGGTTTTCGGTGAGTGAGTGAGTGAGTGAGTGAGTTTGTTTGGTTTTACATCGCTTTTAGCAATATTCCAGCAATATGACAGCATGGGACAGAGCAAGTGGGTGGGTTAGTGAGTGAACAGAACGTTCACTATATTTAACAATATTCCTGCAATATCCTGGTGAGGACACCTGCAATGGTGCATTGTGGGGAATCAAAACTGGGTTTTCTGCTGGATAACAGAACACTTCCACGGCTAACCACACAGCCCCATTACATAATCACACCATATAATGTTATCACAACAATCTATTAGTAGTCTGGGAAAGGTCCTGGAACACCAGCTTGTCTTACACACCGACCATCAGGTCACGGCGCTCCCAGTACAAGCGAGTACAGCACGGAATAGAAGTATTACACCACCATTATCACTGGAAAAAATACACGGTCATCAAGCATGTCAGACAATCATTTAGAAAACACTAAATGACCTCATCTAAATATGACACCATCATAATCACCAGTTCTGCGTGCGACCACTCGCTGTGACTGTTAATGATCCTGCTGCCTTCAAATCTGTTGGAATCCAAAATAATCCTCGTTTCAGTTTAACTTTCCCTTTTCTAAAGAGTCCTTACAAGTCAGTCAGCGAAGTGTGTAAAGTTGTATGAAATCATCTCAAGACTTGTTTCCATGCTCAACAGACGAATGTCAAGATTTCTTTCACTGTTTCAGCATTGTCCTAATCTACTGTGGCGGAGTGTTTGTCAATCACCATTCAACCACAGAGCCTGGTTCGGAGGAAGAGCATTACACCATAGATCCACAGTACAAACAGATATCTAATGTTAGGCTTTCGTTTCATCAAATGTCAGATTACTGTCTGAGCTATTCACATGCATGATATTTTCAACGTTCATGTACTTGTTCCTCAGCACTAAAGGACATTGCGGTTCGTTCTATATTGATCAGCAAATACAGGATATCATCATCAACCTAAGAATCACACCAGACCATCATTACCAATATCAAGCCTGTCTGGATATAGGTAACAAGTAGTGTGTACTCAAGACAAAATGTGAAGACATAACTTAAAGGGAACATCTCATTCACTTTTGGAATGCCCATGGAATCCAAGAGTGCAAGTTAGGCAATTCTGTTTGAAAGAGCATATGCAGACCACTAACAAAGTGTTCAAGGCTGACCAACACAAACCACGTCCAGTATAAACAAAGGACACCAGTATCAGGGCTCGATTTAAGAGATGCTAACCTACTTGCACCAGGTAAACCTAAGATAAAAACCTAGTCTCACCAGCCAAATTCCAGCTGCACTGCTTTTATGGCATTATGTAATAAATGAAATATGCTATTGGATTATTTTTTAGATGTTTTATTTAGAAGTTTACCCACTCAAAAATTGACTAATAACTACGTTGCACTTTGTAATATTGGATTGCACCAGTGCAAGTAACAAAGCACTAAATCAAGCCCTAAGTACTCGAGACAAAATGTGAAGACATAACTTAAAGGGAACATCTCATTCACTTTTGGAATGCCCATGGAATCCAAGAGTGCAAGTTAGGCAATTCTGTTTGAAAGAGCATATGCATACCACTTACAAAGTGTTCAAGGCTGACCCACACAAACCACTTCCAGTATAAACAAAGGACACCAGCTCCTTTAAAAAGTGCAAACTCAGCATCTTATGTAACAGTGAGTGAGTTCAGTTTTACCACGCCGTTTTTCTTATGTAACAAGGTCTTTTTATCAAGAATGAGTGAGAGACTGCTTCTTTAGCATCACCAGCAAAATAGCAACTCTGTGTGTCATAGCTATTGAAACACTGCATAAAGAAAAGAAAACCAGAAAACAGATTTTTCAAACAAAAATTTCTCCAACTGGACAAGTCACTATCTGCAACTTCATGGTTTTAGCAAGATGTCCACACATGTAGTTGCAGTGAATCTGTTCATGTTTTGCAAGTGTGCTGCAATGTAAGGAAGTGGCGTCCTGGCAATAACCTCCCTGTGTACAGCAGCAGCTGGGTATGTAGGTAGCTGTCTAGTCTGTCTCACAGTCCCTAAACCATATTATTTCCCCTACTGCCTAGCCCTCCATGCAATGCTAAAGCCCTAAATGAAGCAAGTCTAGATTTCTCCAGGTTCTGAATCTCTGGTCCCTGGGACTTCTTTTCAATATAAATGGGTTTATCTGTTACGATCAAAATTTTTTTATTCAGAGACTAAGCATTAGTCTAGTAGCTGCCATCTGTTATCACTATGCCGTTCCCTCCGGCAGTTGTGGTATCCCCCTGCATGGGCTTCTTCATCCACTTCACCGTCTGCGGCCGCGGCTGCATGAGTCATGCTAATAGTACATAGCTCTACAGCCACACAAAAACACTTCTGGAAATAGATGCGAGACGTACCCACCACACGGTGATTATTTCTAATATTTCCCCATGTTGTTCCCTGACAATATGTTTATTAATACCATATTTTTTTGCTTGTTACAAACTCAGCAGCTGGCAAGTTAATTTTGTTTGGCTTTGAATTACAGTGAGTGAGTTTAAGTTTTTCGTCACATCGGCAATATTTTGAATTACACACCAAAATGTTTAGTGTGTATATTATCAAGGAAATATATCCTCCCAAAATATATTGCAGTGTTGCTTTCTCTACAAGTTATTTGCAATGATGGTCAAATTACAGGGTTATAGATTTGCATTTGCTGATTAAAGTGCAGGAATTGATCTGATTCAAACTTAAGTTAAATGCTATAACTATTTTAACAAAGATATTCTGTTTCAGCAATGTGAAAGCTAAATCTGGAATGTTAACTGTACGAAGACATAGGAAAAAGAGATATGCATCTGTGATAGCTGCATCTACTGAACCAAGAACCATTTTCATTATTCATAGAGCCATCAAAATTTTATAAGAATCAATAAGTGGACAAAAAATGGTGGTCTTCAAGATGTTCTAGTGGCTGTTGCTGCTGCTGCAAGATGTGACGCTGACATGGATGAAGCACATCGATGTTGTAGGGATGAGGACTGAGAAATTGTGATCATGTATAGTTGTGTGCAGCCTTTATGCCACAGGTGCTGACTAACAGTATCAGGGCTTGATTTAGTGCTTTGTAACTTGCACTGGTGCAACCCAATATTACAAATGCAACCTAGTTATTTGTCTAACTTGCACCAGGTGCAAGTCAATTTTTGAGAAATATATCAACAATAAATCTAACATTACAAGCATAATTATGTCAGCTCATTTTTCTTCTAAACTTTGAATAATTTAATAGCATATTTCATTTATTACATATTGCAATAAAAGCAGTGCAGTTGGAATTTGGCTGGTGCAACTAGGTTTTTACCTTAGGTTGCACCTGGTGCAAGTATGTTAACGTCTCTTAAATCGAGCCCTGAGTATGCAGTACAACCACAGCATATGACAGGGTGCGAAATTTACGCTGGTCCTGTTGTCACTGGCTAGTAAAAAATCATCAGGACCACTAGATGATAAGCTTGCAGTGGTCCTGGTGGACAGTGAAATTTTAAAAATAAATCTATGAATGTTACTTTGGACCAGTGAAGAACAGACAGGACCACTAATTATTGTCCACTCACTGGTCCTGTAATCTAGTGGGAAAATTCGAAAGGTTTCTTTCCCTGCGTATGTGATGAGCACAAAGCATACACAATGAGACTAAGGAAAATGACAGTTGTGGACAGGATATGAGGATTGTATGCAACAGAGTATGTAATATGGAGTATGTAACATAGAGTATGCAATACGGAGTATGTAACACAGAGTATGTAATACAAACATTATGTAATACAGACAGTTTGCAATACAAACATGTATTACAGAGTGTGCAGGGTGATTATACGCTATGAAGTATGACCAGAGTATTAATATATTCAAATATTTCATTAAGCATCTCTTAATAGGATTAATTAATCCAGAGTGTGAAAATGTGAGATTCTCAAAACCACATGATTTCCTGAACTTGATTTAAAGTTCAGTCAGTTCTAGCCGAAGTTGTAACTGCAGGGACGGATACCAGATATAGCCATGCCCAGGACAATGTGGACAGCAATAGAAGCAAACCGTCAACACTTGACCTTTCGCCTCCTACCCCTGGCCATGCCTCGGCTTTCAGGGGTAACAAAGGGCTGACCCCATGCCTCCTCGAGTCAATAATACCTCACTAGGTCTGGGATCGGCCACAGAGTGGAGACAGGTGAACCGTGTTGCCACTGACAGCTGGTGTAGGTGGAAACGTGTCTCAACCTGCTCCTAGGGGGAGCTATTCAAACTCGTTAATGGGGTATATACTCTGGCAGGCTGGGTTGGAAAGAGGGATGGCTTGCTGGAGATTATACACCGGACTGGCTATTACGGATAATTCAGAATGTCTACAAATGATAATGCTCCACGCTGGACATTACATATGGATTAGGATAGATTTCTGACACTCATGATGTACCCCACCTGTTCTTAAAATGATTTTTGAAAGATAGCATGCATGTCAAACTCAAAAAGAAATTCAGAAAAGATCCATATGCAGGAAGTTCATTACTATTTATCTTTACAAAATTTTGGCTATGAATTGGTCAGTTAACAATGGAATGATTTAGAGAAAATGTGTTTTCAAACAGCTTGATTCGATTTTCAACATTTAATTTCCTAGTTGATATAAAAGGAATTGATTCAGAACCTGGAGAAATCTAGACTTGCTTCATTTAGAGTCTTACCACTTCAGGGAGGGCTTGGTTGTAGGGAAAATAATGTGGTTCAGGGACTGTGAGACAGGCTATGATTCTAATACCTTCATTTGGATATTCACATAACAAATGCCATGCAGTATGTACATTTAATACCTACGAAGGCGAAAATATTGGGGTTCATATTTTTCATACGATGCCCTAGGGCAAAATATCTCATTGTCATGGTGACGTGACGTCATGAACAATGCTATGATGTCACGTTTCTTCTGTGAAGTTCTACATGCAGTGACGACGGGTAGACAGCCTATGTTTGAAAGTAGATTTGGGTTTAATTTCCTCAATTTGACGACTTCGGTAATAAACAGAATATTATATTCGTGCCCATATCATACTATGTTTACGACACTCGTGCTTAAATAACGGTATATCCACCGCTCTCCTTCGGAGAAATACCAACATTTAGGCACTCGTGTCGTAAACATAGTATGACATGGGCACTCATATAATATCCTCTATATATTCAGTTAATCCTTCACACAAACATGTGCTGTACAGATGTCCCAATGGAGGACAACTACCACACCATATTGTCAAAGAGACTCAGCATTACTGCCACAGTGGCAGTAGAACTGGCCAATAAATTCTAACTTGTGGCATAGCAAATAAATGTGGGAGGTTCGCTCATAAAACACTCAACGTTATAAAGTAACTCTGAGTTATTAATGTCAATTCAGCGAAAATAACTTAGAGGCTATAGGTGTTATCAGTTCAACACTTGCGCTATGGGCAACGATTCCTTCACTCTCAGCCATTTATCTCTGCAGAGTTTCCGGGGCAGAATATTATATATTCCAGAGTCCTCATCCTGGTCACACTGAAACAGGACAGGTGGTCACTATGGCAACTGAATCCATATCCTGATACCTATCTGCATGGACAGATCATCATGCACAGTTGAAGTCAGACACTTGCTCCTTTTGTTCCCAACACTAGGAGAGAGGACACCCCTTTTGTTCCAAACACCAGAAGAGTGGACACCCCTTTTGTTCCAAACACCAGAAGAGTGGACACCCCTTTTGTTCCAAACACCAGAAGAGTGGACACCCCTTTTGTTCCAAACACCAGGAGAGAGGACACCCCTTTTGTTCCAAACACCAGAAGAGTGGACACCCCTTTTGTTCTAAACACCAGGAGAGAGGACACCCCTTTTGTTCCAAACACCAGGAGAGTGGACACCCCTTTGTTCCAAACACCAGGAGAGAGGACACCCTTTTGTTCCAAACACCAGAAGAGTGGACACCCCTTTTGTTCCAAACACCAGGAGAGAGGACACCCCTTTTGTTCCTAACACCAGAAGAGTGGACACCCCTTTTGTTCCTAACACCAGAAGAGTGGACACCCCTTTTGTTCCTAACACCAGAAGAGTGGACACCCCTTTTGTTCCAAACACCAGAAGAGTGGACACCCCTTTTGTTCCAAACACCAGGAGAGAGGACACCCCTTTTGTTCCAAACACCAGAAGAGTGGACACCCCTTTTGTTCCAAACACCAGAAGAGTGGACACCCCTTTTGTTCCAAACACCAGGAGAGTGGACACCCCTTTTGTTCCAAACACCAGGAGAGAGGACACCCCTTTTGTTCCTAACACCAGAAGAGTGGACACCCCTTTTGTTCCAAACACCAGAAGAGTGGACACCCTTTTGTTCCAAACACCAGGAGAGTGGACACCCTTTTGTTCCAAACACCAGAAGAGTGGACACCCCTTTGTTCCAAAACACCAGGAGAGAGGACACCCCTTTTGTTCCAAACACCAGAAGAGTGGACACCCCTTTTGTTCCAAACACCAGAAGAGTGGACACCCCTTTTGTTCCAAACACCAGAAGAGTGGACACCCCTTTTGTTCCAAACACCAGGAGAGAGGACACCCCTTTTGTTCCTAACACCAGAAGAGTGGACACCCCTTTTGTTCCAAACACCAGGAGAGTGGACACCCCTTTTGTTCCAAACACCAGGAGGGTGGACACCCCTTTTGTTCCAAACACCAGGAGAGAGGACACCCCTTTTGTTCCAAACACCAGGAGGGTGGACACCCCTTTTGTTCCCAACACCAGGAGAGTGGACACCCCTTTGTTCCCAAACACCAGGAGAGTGGACACCCCTTTGTTCCAAACACCAGGAGAGTGGACACCCCTTTTGTTCCCAAACACCAGGAGAGTGGACACCCCTTTTGTTCCAAACACCAGGAGAGTGGACACCCCTTTTGTTCCAAACACCAGGAGAGAGGACACCCCTTTTGTTCCAAACACCAGGAGAGTGGACACCCCTTTGGTTCCAAACACAGGCAGACACCCCCTACACCTCTTTTCAAAATTACAAACTTACATATATTACATAGACTAAGCGCTAGTATAGGATACAAGCAGACCATCACATTACATGTTGCAGCTTGTAACACAGAGCATCAGCTAGACTTACACAAGTCTCTAAGGTAATCATTAATCATTTAAATAAAAAATTCTAGAAATATAAATAACAGACTGCCATCCACTTATCTAGACTTGCCTCCTTTAGGATAGAATTAACAGGCATCCACGGGCTTGTCATTCAGTACAGCCTTGGAGCAAGGCTAAGCATCATCCAGTGACATGATCCACTGTCATCCAGAGTGACGTACCTGCACATACCATCATGTTTCCCTCTTGTATCAATACTAACCATGGCTTACATTATTCAGGAGTCAAGAGTCAAGTCAATCACAAGTTGGTTGTAACCACAAGCTGACAGCAGCACAATCCAATTGGGTCCCAGAAGGCTTGTAATTAATGCATCTGTTCAACTGAGTTATCAGCCTGACACAAATTGACTCTGAAGGTCGCATGTAGTTCATTGTACCCCAGCTGATTCTAGTTGCTGGCACTAGTTCCATGATCAACATGGATCGTCATAGCAACCTCTTCTTAAAGAAATATTACAAATTAAACTGTCCACGATCAACAAGGATCGTCATAGCAACCTTTTCTTAAAGAAATATTACAAATTAAACCGGTCCACGATCAACAAGGATTGTCATAGCAACCTTTTCTTAAAGAAATATTACAAATTAAACTGGTCCACGATCAACAAGGATCGTCATAGCAACCTTTTCTCAAAGAAATATTACAAATTAAACCGGTCCACAACTATCGTCATAGCAACCTTTTCTTAAAGAAATATTACAAATTAAACTGTCAACGATAAACAAGGATAAACAAGGATCGTCATAGCAACCTTTTCTTAAAGAAATATTACAAATTAAACCGGTCCACGATCAACAATGATCATCATAGCAACCTTTTCTTAAAGAAATATTACAAATTAAACCATCCACGATCAACAACTATCGCCACAGCAACCTTTCCTTAAAGAAATATTACAAATAAAACTATTACCAGTTGATGGCTTTCTTTATCATGTGACAACCCCCAAAGATCAGTGTTCAATGTTTCCCCCTAAGGAAATTGCTTTTTAATCAACAAATGACTTAATATGCAACAAATGACTTAATATGCAACGGTTAACAGAAAAGATCCCTGTAAAGGAAGGTTGTTTCAGGTTGAGTGGAGTTTAAACTTAACGATTCAGCATTATATGATCTTCACAACAAATGAGACCAAGTTTGCACATGTACATAACATTGTTTCTGGAGACTAGGAGCCCAGGTACACAGTTGCCTGAGGAACTAATGTGCATCCAGATGGATTATTGTTGCTGGGAGAGACTGGCAACAGCCTAGATGGTCCTTACAGCCTGATTTCATTATTGACCAGGGTTCCATCTCAGTGTTGTCAGCTGTGACCTTGTAATGAACTCATAGCCCAGTGGCCGCAGATCATCACTAGTTCACTCATCGGACACACATGATAAATACATGTTCTGGGCTGGTGACGCTGAATGAACACAGTTCAATATGGATGAATACATTCATGACAGTTGTGTTCAAATCAGTCTCACAAATGTTTACAGTGTATACAGAGTCGGGGCCAACAGTTCAGGCTGAGTGGCCCTGAAGAATGTATAGATCTGTGGAAATCATAATGGATAGTTATGGGTAAATTCCCATGATCCCTTGCGAGATAAAGAAAAGGAAATGCTATGTCTAGGTT